GGGAGGGAGTGTCATACTCTTACTGACTAAAAACCACCCCGTTCCTTCTCCTGCACGTCGAGCCGGAGCCCCGGTTACCCGTTAGGTTCTCCGCGACTTGGCTTAACACTACAACATCTGCGTGATAACCCCATTTCCTGTTTCTTACTATTAACCAATAGGGTTTAGGGAAACCGGAAACTACAGATGATAGTATAACGATATACGTGACACTGACACTGACAAGTGACAAGTTTTAAAATCGAAACTACCTACATAAATAAAAGTTTTGTACTCTATTTTCTACAAATAGGTACTGTTTGTTTGAAGGATTTATAATTAAAACTGCTGACCAGGTAAATATTTGTTCATTTTGTAAATAAAGTAGTCTCCCACTCTACCTTCGAAGTTATTTTTATTAAAATGAAACAAGATTCATTGTAAGAAATATTGAAGTATGCGTTTATTGCTATTTAAAACGTTTAAAATTATTATTTTTCATTTGAGCAAACTATTTTTGGAGATAAGCCCCAATGGCCGATTCAGTCCAGGGTGCTTGTTGTCGTGGTGTATGAGTAGTCCTCTTCTCGTTACAAACTTTTCTGTGCAGTTCGTGCATTTATAAGGTTTTTCTCCTGTGTGTTGGTACATGTGGTACTGCAAATATTGAAAAGAGTAAGTTGGAAAAATAGTTTAAATTGTTGAGAACTAATTTTAGGTACATTCCATAGAGAGCCCAAGTGAACATTAACTAAGTATTAATATTGATAAGGGTTTTTAAAAAATTCACAATGTACTTATTTATTAACTGTTCACTTGGCATTACCAATGTAAACTTTAGTATTTCTTCATTTAGTTGTTAATATCTACTTCCTTTATAAAAGTAATTTACAAAGGTGGTATAAAGGCATTCTTCAAACTCAAAATAGTAATAGGATTCCAACATTGCAAGGTCAGATTCAATTTCTTAAGGAATTTTTACTCGACTGAAAAAGTTTTTCTTCTTGAATAGCATCTGAGTCTCAAATAAATATTAAGGAAATTGTATACAAGCAACATAGCAGGTACTCATCTACCTTCCTCCATCTATGTGAAATATTTCAAGTATCAGTTACGTTAACCCAAATGTTAATGCAACTGCTTCTCATGCATGAGGCTACAGGTTTGAAACCTGGCTAGTAGCAATGTTTTCTGAGATATATATATTTCCTAAGATTATTATGATACCATTGACATACGGTGAAGGATTTCAAACTATCAGTTTGATTTTATTAAATCGCCTTGAGCAAGTGTACAATGCTCAAACCTTGTCAGCATGAAAAAATGCCTTTACTCAGCACTGAGCACTTATAGGCTGCTGATGTGAGATGTGAAATATTTTATGAATTGCAATTTGTTAATACTCACATTGAAGTTTTCTTTTTTCATAAAACTATGCTCACATAAGTGACATTTGAATTTGAGCACACCATTTACAGTGGTCATATTGTTATGTGTAGGCACATCAGCAGGTTTTGGTTTAGGAGCAATTGGTCTGAGTACCGGGACATCAGCTGTGGGAATAGTTCTTCGTACAGACCTTTCATATTTTTCTCCAGGATGCATACGATTTCTATGAGAGTAACTATTTCCAGAACTTGCAAAGCACTTGTCACAGAATGGACATTTGTAAGGTTTAGCCCCAGTGTGTTGGTTGACATGGAACTGAAATAGTATAGTACAAATAAATTACATGCAACTGAAATAATATAGTACAAATAAATTACATAAAAATATAAAGTTTTTAAAAACTTCTCAAAATATTAATTCTCATTAGTTTCTTTATGAAGTTAGGTACTTTAATTAATTATCTTTTTCGTTTGGAACTTTGTTTATTTCAATTTAATAATAATTTGTGAGACAAATAGGACACTATTTGTTTATCTTACTTTTAAATCCTGGTTTCTCTTGAAAGTTTTTTTACAAATATCACATTTATAGGGTCTTTCCGCACTATGACTAACACTATGAGTTTTTAGACCGCCCCATGTATTGTAGGATCTGCCACAGATTTTGCATGTGTATGATTTACTTGAAGGTAAATGCACATACATATGAGCAACATATGTTTTTTCTGATCTGAACCTGTGAACATTGAAAATTGTAGTTAAAATTATAAGAAGTTGACAACTAAGTTCCTGTCTAAAGATACACTTAAAAATAAACTTACATTCTCCCACATAATTGACATACACCATTAGATCTATGCTTTTTCAAATGAGATATTAAATCATACTTGTAATAAAATCCTTCAGAACATGTGTTACAAGTATATTGCTTTTCATCTCTATTTTCGGGAAGATGAATCCAACTATGGTTTTTTAATGCCAAATCTGTACAAAAGCTACGTTCACATGAAGTACATTTAAAAGGTTTTACTTTATCATCATCATCACTGTTGTGAGAGCCTGATGATACAGATGGCAGTTTTTCCTTGGCATTATCTTCAAGTATAGAATGTGTGTCGCCTTTCTTTATTAACTTTATTGTCACATTTTCTGTATCCAGACCGTGTAAATAAGTGACGTCGTTAACATTGTTATCATACGCTGGTGATAAAGTGACTTCAGAATTTTGAAGCACCATCATGGGATCCACACTCACTTCCATTTCTGTATATTTTTCATTTTCGACGATCTCTGCAGATTCAACCTTTTGCTCTGTTTTGACTAAAGAAATCATACATTTGGTTGGAGCAATCTGGTCTATCATAAAACTTCGTTGAAGAAGAACTTCTTGAGCTTTTCGTGCCGTGTCTATGAAGTCACATACTGATTGTAACTTGGTACAACATTGGATACAAATATTTTTTGGTAACTTGTCGTCTTCATCCACCTGTGGAATTATTTACCAACTTAATTACTTGAATGACGAGAAATTATTTTCTTATTTATATAACGCACCCGCTTCTTACCTCAATTAATAAGTATCTGTTGAGCTTGTTTTGTAAAAGCATTGCTTCGGCTTCTTGACTAAATATCATTATGGTAACGTCTTGTTCTTCCGCACACAGGCGACAACATCGTTCAAAGCTATCTTCTAAACTTTCCGTCATGACTAAATAGTGACGAAGATACTAAACTTGTGACACTGTTTCTATTCTTACGAGTATAATGCATGCACTGTAATGATTTTTCTGGACGTACCACAACCATCCAGTAGCGTACAAATAACGCATGCGCGGTAGAAGATAGCGATACCAGTCTTCCGTTTGTATACTTCGTTGCTATTGATATTTTCCTAAAGGTATACTTACTGCGGGGTATACCTACTGCGCAAACTCGGCACTGCTCTAGTCCTATACCTATGTAGAATAAGTTCTTTGAAAAGGTTTGATATTAGTATAGCAAATACATAATAGACATGGTACAGATAAGATTGTCATACCTAATAATTAGGCATCTATGCTATTACGTCTACCTACTACTTTGTTAAGTGTATAAAAATTGGAAGACTAATTAGTACTTAGGTAGTGCCATAAAATAGTACTTCCAACTTGGCCAATGAATAACATATTGAATTGAACAAACACACTTTTTAATATCATCAAGCGTGGTATTGTCAAAAAGGTCGACAGATATATCTAGTCGGTAAGATTTGTAGTTGGGGCGAAGATAGTTTTTGCCAATTATTTCGGAACAATAAAAATAATAATCAAGAGATAACAACTACCTGTTGTTGACAAACCTAATTAGATTATTTAAATGTAATTTTTTTTTTAAATAAGAAAGTTTAGGCTTACTAAAATTCTATTATAACGCCATCTAAAGTGACACTACAGAACTAAGGTGCTTCATAGGATACGATCATTTGTACGTTTTGACATCAACGGCAACGTTAGTGATATTTTTAATATCTAGATGGCGTTGCTGTTGTAAAATAAACATTGCAGGAGAGTTTACATGAGGACTTGTTATGATTTTTATATAAACAATGTCATAAGTAATGAGTAATAAGTAGTCCATGAACTCTGCACTTGCTTTTAAATTATCCGGATAATTTAATTTATTGTGGACGCTACATTCTGAATCGGAATTTTAAGGCATCTTTTTGGCATTAGGTAGCCTAAATAAAGATACCTACACTTATTTTTTCCTCAGACCCCCAGAAAAACGTATGCTTAGAGATTTAAAACAACAAAGGCCTATTATACGATATTATTTTTTAATTTGTTTTTACAAGATTTAGGAAAGTATTATAGGAAATCAGATTTCCGCCCTGACTGAAAAAATGAAAAAATCCTATCCTATTATCCTTATTTATTTTTCTTGTAGGTATTCGAAAATCTTTTAACTCCGCAGTGAATTTTAATTTGGAACGGTTTAGGTACAATATAAATAGATCCCCTAGGCCTAGTTCCCTATTTTGTTATAATAGATCTGAAATCAGATATAATGTATTTGATCATTTCTTTATGGTAATAAAATGGACTGTCGCAACTAAATGGCGGTTAATGACTTTAAATATGTCTACTATTACTAACAACTTTAAAGATTATTGAGCGTTTAAAGAATAATATAGACAGACAAACTATGTACCTGTTCATTGATATAGAGATACAAAAAAATCCATTAATCCTTTTTTATTTTGCTAGCGTTTCCTCATCATTTTTGGTTTCCAGTTCATCATTAAGTTATATCAATATAATTCTATGTTTTGCAAGTCGTTCTGAAAATTAATTGTTTTTTTAGTATTTGTTGTGTGCTATGTAATTTGTTGTGTATTTTTTAAATAGGTAATTGTTATTTTTTTGTACTAAATCAAGGGTATAAATTATGAATCCAATTTCACCTGATACTTTGGTGCCTATTTGGTGGGTTCTTGATTGACTTGATGGTAAACTATTTTTTGTCTAAATGACTGTCAGATACCTTATTTTATATTGTCGCATATCCATCTGTGCATATGGATAAGCAAGTCATCTACATTATTTGGATCAAATTCATTTCTAGTATTGTCCTTCAATTTAAGTACCTATTATACCTATTTAGTATCTTAGGATATAATCTGAAACATTTGCTTGTTTAGTTTACCTGCACTACATTAATTAGTGTTAAAACATAAACAAAGATTTAAACAATAATTTTATTGTGATTTCCTGTCACAATCGTTATATTTTATGGTGAGCCAAGGAGATAGTGGGTGAGCGGGGTGAGGGGCATCATTCTCGAAACAGAGACCGGTCCGTGCACCAAACATACTATGCGCAGCGCGGGTGGTGCGGCGGGTGCGCGTGGGCAGGGAGACTTTGCGGTGCGGGCGGGGCGCGCGTCAGTCGCGTAGCGAACGCTATATTGTAAGAACGTCGGGTGGCGCCGCGCCAGCCCGTCGCGTGCTAGTGTTGTGTCACAGCGGTGGGCCAGGTCGGTTTCGAGATTTCTTCGTTCCGACGTAAATCATGGCTCTCAACTCGGACGCTGAACAGAAATCGAACCTGGTCCTCCGCGTGGACCAGGATTCTGACTCGGTTCTACAGTCATTGTTCGACACAGTGCTTAAGCCGGACTCGAAACGACCGCTACAGGTGCCTCTCCGAATGCGACAGCTTCCAAAGTCGTTCTTTAACCCGCCGTCAACCGGTTCCAAGTCGCCATCTGTGTCTCACTCGCGAGAAAACTCGGCTGACTCGGCGTTCGGATCGTCGTCCGCGACTGGCGCCTCACCGGTGTCGCACTCTCGAGCACATTCGTCACCCGCAAGCTTGCAACAAACTTATGCCGCTGGACAACAAAACCAACAACCGCCACTCCACCATCAGCACACAAAACAGAGATCCTATGATGTTGGAACACATATCCCAGATGATCTTGGCCCACTCCCACCTGGTTGGGAACAAGCACGGACACCGGAAGGACAGATATATTATCTTAAGTAAGTTTTCTCTTACCTAATATATAATACTTACTTATTTAGGTGATGATACCTATTTAATTTAGAATAACCTTATCAATGGAAAGTTTGATATCGAATAATCTTTTTTCAAGTAAAAACTAGTTATAAAAGTAATGTGAAAAGAAAAACACTAACTACGCGCCAATTTACATAGTATTCTAATATGCTACCTTAGCTTACCTTATGCTACTTGCTACCTTCTAGTGACTCATAATTTTATGGTTCGGTATATAACCTATGTATATTTCAGCTTATCCATAGTTTTATAATAATAATGATGCGTAGGTAATAAGTTATTAAGTGAATTGCATAGGTACTTATATACACTTATCAATAGCTACTTCTATATGTAGGATGCGTTATGTAGATAACCACTAATTACAAAAGTGATACAAAATTTTATTTGATATCTGAAACAGATCAGTAACGTCTGTTGACTATTGCCCAAAATATCCATAGCTAATTCATATGGTTATAGATTTGCATTGCGCAAAATCGGAGAAGGCTCGGCTATTTGAATTTGTATGGTTTCAGCGCATATGCACGACAATAGGCATACACTGGAGATGTAAGGAAAAACTATTTTACTGCGTTTTCAGGTCATGCTCTCAATAATCTTAACATCCTTATTTGAAAAGAATTGAGATTAATGAGGCCGAAACAATCCTATCCTACGATCTACAAATAATTTATGTTATCGGACCTCTTCCATCCGCACCTAAGTCCCTAAAGTTTTGAAATGGTAGCTGCCTACACAGAACTAAGGGTAGTTAATACTGTAAACTCGTCTTATTGACAACGCATTGTCGTCATTTGGTATCTTATCGCGGTATACCTGCCGTCAGTACAAAGATAAAACGTGATAAGACCAAGTTAATCATTATAATGTAGGTATACCTCCGTTTTATATTCTACGAATTATTTTTTACCTTGTATAAAATCAAATTGAATCTCAATTAGTTTGATATTTAAATTGTAAAACCCTTAATCATACCTCCTTGATGTTTATTTTCATTAACGTTGATTATTAAGAACTACGTTCTGCCAGCGGCGTCGCCTGCGTTTCGGGATAAAAGTTGCCCTACGTGTTATTCCAGCCTATAACCTATGTTTGTACAAAAGTTCATCGAAATCCGTCCAGTACTTTTATCATGAAAGAGTAACAACCCAACACTAATACATTCTCACAAACTTTCTTTTATGTAATATACATGATATATACATTATTATACATACTAACTTCTACAAGCCACTCACCAGCGTTCCTGTGTGTTCTTCGAGAGTATAATCTACCCCTGATCCAAATTTCTTACGTGAACAAGTAACTAAAACACAAACTCACATTAGTCACAAACTTTGGTATGAATACGAAAGTTTAAATAAATATTAGTAATCCTATTCTTGGACAATGCACGGTACCTGTCATTTTGCTTCTTCTTTGTCCCTTTATTGCTGCTCAAATTTTATCTGGGCCTCTTTATAACCATTTTAACTACTGTGATAACACTGGACAGCTTACCTTTATTTAGATGAGGAACCACTGTTACAGACGAGGTTATCATAAAGAAGTTAAAGCTTCTTCTTCTGCCTTAGACAAGACGGTAGACGCGTGATTTTGGTTACCCCTTACCATTAAACTAATACTTAGGAACGATTTTGAATCAATTTTTAAGGACCGAGGTAATTATTAAATGACACTGAGTAGGTACAATGATTACATTTTATATTAGGGAAATGACTTCTACTTTATGTATTTTAGTTTTTCAAAAACCCAGGCTTAAAAAATCGGTAATTACCGGGATATATTGTTATGAGCTTCAGAGTTTGCAAGTTCAGTAGTTTCAGTAGACATGGTGGAAGAGAATAGTAGAGAAAAAGATACCTACTACCTACTTAATAGATAGATACTAATTTCGGTGGCGAGAACAATAAATTAACATGTGCTTATTGAACTATAGATATTAAGATCTTGAAATTATGCCAGTCACCTATTGCATACTTTGGGTTCACGATATTTCGATGTGATACATTCGGTGAACTTTCAATGGTTTGTGTGATTTAAATAATTACATCGATAATCGGTAATGACTGGTTAGTAGTTTGGCGTCGATGCCATTACTGTCACGTAATGATTTTGATTGAATACTTTAATTTGTTATCACATTAACATTCGTTTTTGGAAAAATCTTAACTACAAGGCTCACCCCTTATTACATGGGCCTCGTTACATAAATACTCAAAAGTAGGTATTACATTGTACAGTAGCATTATTGATGATAGAACATTAATGTGCACGTCTGCCTACTCTTTCGGGGATAAAAGGCTGATCTTATGTTATGCCTTAACTACAACTTACACATGTAAAAAATTTTCGGCTATGACCTGAACTCAGGATATTGAGATTTGTACCTTCTATTTAAGAACACCTCTAGAGCCTATATCTCTCCTCTCTCAATAGGCAAATGGACACAGAATTAGTTTTATTTTATGAAACATCAAACCTCCGATCTTCATATTTTGCTACTGATGTCCGAATTTAACTCGTCGAGTACCGGTTTTGTAGACACAATTATAGAACAATAGGTTGCGGTCACCGGTGACCGCTTGGTGTTTGACAGTTT